AAAAAAAAAAAAAAAAAAGTTCTATGAAGTCTAAGCTGGACGAGTCCTAAAGAATTATTTGTTCTAAAATCTTCATTTTATAAAGCATAAAACGACCCATAAAGGACTATTTGTCCAGTTAGGACTGGAACCCAGATGTCTTGACTCTTTGTAGCCTCTCTTTATGAGGAAGTTATTCTCTAAGTAACAACCCTTTTTTTCCTATATCCTTAATTAGGGCATTCAACCAACTTTGTGGTAACCGTCCTCTTACCCTCCAAGCGGTCCAAAGACTACTGGATTGCCAAGGGATCAGCTTTGCTCTGCCAGCTGAGTGAATGAAAAGGTGCCACCTCAGCACTAAAAGAGAACCAGGTCCGAGATCTTTCCTAATGGGAGCAAAAGATTTGAATAACTTATATGTGAGCAAAAAGGTGTTAATTCTGATTTGACTTAAAGGTATTAAGTGTGACTTTTATTTCTCTTATGTCCTTAAAATAAAGTGTTTGAGTTCTTTCTGTTGGCAATCCAAGCTCCGCTGTAGAAGCAGTGGGTTCAACACCCACCTGTCAAACCAGCTCCCCAACCCTAAGTGAGAGGCAGCTTCCCATCAGTTACTTTCTGGGACCCCCAGGAAGAGTCAGGACTCAGCACTCGCTTCCCCTCACAGGCTCCTTTCCTCTTCAAGCTGACATGAAAGGCCCCAGGTGCTTCCATTTCTAGACTAGATTAAGGCTCTCAGAGTCCAGTGCATGGGAGGTTGATGCGGTGAGCACAACTGGTAGAGCAAATGAGCAGGATAATAAGAAGTTGGCCTATGATGTCAGTTCCCAGTTCTGTGGGGCTGCATCACAATCCTTGGAAGAGCCTATGCTTTCACAAAAGGGCAGGCCAATCCTGCCCAAGTATGGAGGATTTTCCCCTTCCACTTTAGGATGATTCTGTATGAAAACTAACCAAGTCCCAGTCAGGTGCATCTGAGCCTCTGCCACCTCAAAAGCGGAGATTGGTGACTCAGTTCTCAAGTGGAGCAGCCAGTGTGACAAACCACCTTGTGTCGGTCCTGCCAATAATGGTCTGCCTGCTTCCTCGGCCATAATGTGATCCAAGAAACAAGGAAATCACCCAGCTAGGATTGAGCCCTTGGTGGGAGCCACACCACCCTCTTACAAAGAATTGGAGGAACAGAGTCAGGCCTCCCAGTGTATCTCTGCCTCCCCGCTCCATCCCCATACCTATCGAAGTTAAGAGCAGATTCAAGTCGCAGAGAAGCAGGTAACAGCACTTTTGCCAGAAATCAGTGCACAAATCAGAAACTACTCTTGGTATTTCAAGCAGAAATAGTTGCTAACATGATCACAGGAATGGCTGCCGCTGCAGAAGTCAAAGAGTTGATATCAGGCATCGCACCATCTGTACTCCAAGGTGGGAACCCTGAAGGAAAAATTGTGCCAACCTGACAGCTACTCCATGCTGAAGCAGGGGAATAGAGGGGGCTGCAGAGACTGACCACTGCACAAACTTGTGTCTGCTGAAGCCTGTACATAACCATGCCCCCTGCTCAAGAAAAGTTCCCTCTGCCCACTTTTGTTTTCCAAATATCCCATGAGTGTATCTCATTAGGAGAATCGAACACAGCAGCAGGGGGATTTGGGAGTTTTTGCCTGCCTACCCCTGCAATACAGATGGTGCAGAATGGAACCAAAGTGGTGGACATGGTTAAGTGCCACCACACTACTGTTTCAGTAAGGCCACTGAGATCTTCTGGGCCCTGGAAATAACTGAGCATGAACCCACAAAAGCCTCAGAAAAGGAAAGGAAGCCAGAGCTACAAATCCAGACAATCAGCCTTACCCTAAGCCAGATTAGGGAACAAATACAGCTACTTCTTATTGACCCCACCCAAGCCCTGGACAGACATTCTATCTAGGGTTTTTGTGGGCTACTCCGAAGCCCAGGACCATAAAGGACGCTTGCCACAGGTGGGAGACCCTGATCTGGAACCATGGTGGTTAGGGGAGAGAGATCACCTGGGCAGGGCTAAAAGCTCCCATTTCAGATTCAACTGGGGAAGTTCTACTCTTACACGTTTTATAGAGAGAGTCCCAATAAGATTTGTATTTAGAAAAGACATTTACAATAAACATGCGAATAATAAATAACAAGATGGGGATTGGGGGTAGTTTGAAAACCACTTTCTTGCACAGCACCTCTGACAAAGCCTACCCACTCCCCCCACCCCCCCACCCAGCCTCTCAGTGAGACACACACATTATACAAAATGAAAGCATCTCTTAGGGCACAGGGAGCACCCTATTCACCAGAGCTTGAATAGAGAGGTGCAGACCACAAGTTCCATGGCCCACTGACTCCCCTGCATCCAGAACCAAGAGTGGCACAAAGAAAGGGAACAGAAAGAGGAAAGGGTCAGGATACAAAGCCAGGGCCGGAAGGGATCAGAGCTGCAGCTGAGAAGTGCAGGGCCTAGGGGGAAGCAGTGAAAGGATTTAGGGTGTGAGAGAAGTTGTCTGCCTGATATATACACATCATAAATAAAAATCTACACCAAAAAAAGGTTTTATTTTCATACAACTCATTTATAATTTATTTTCACACAACTCATTATGTTACAAAACTGTACACCTCCCCCCAAAGTTGGATAACCCAAAGTCTCATTCCTTGGAAAGAGAAGAATCAACACTGGGCTTCTTTTTCAGTGTTGGATTGGGCCCAACAAGGCTAGACCAGAATGTGGAGTACAAGAATGGCCATCCTTCAAGTCTAAGGGGTCAGGGTCTTAGCCTGGTACTTCTGGTCGTTACAGGAGAGGTGTCTCTGTTTGGAAAGCCAGCACCAGCACCCAGAACACAGGAGTCCAGAGAGACAGGCAGGCACTGCTGGCCACCATCTGGCTGTGGTGGGAATGCCCATGGCGAGGGAACTGCAGCTCAGTGGAGATGTGCCTGTCCAGGACACGGACCTGGAGTTGCGGGACCATGTCACTAGGAGGCAAAGAGAAAGACAGAGTCTGAAGGCACAGCAGAAACCACTGCACACGCCAAGGCCCCCAAATGCCCACACAGCTTCTCTTCATCTCCCCTCCTTAAAGAAAGGAATGGGTATTAGTATGTTAATAGGCTTCCTATATCTCTGGTCCTCTTTCATGTCTTTGGCCACTGCTACCAGAAAACCAAATGGCAGAGGATATTAAGACCAGCAGACTAGCCAACTGTCCCTGGCTATTTGGTTCTTCATTCAAAGATTAGTGAAAGTCTTCATATAAGGCCCAATTCAAAGATTGCTAATCACTAGCCTCGGGCAATCTTAGGCAGGGACCCTCCTCACTGGCCACCACAGAGGCAGAGCCAGACCATGCAGATTCCTCCCTGGGTCTCTGCCTCTCTCACCTGCCCAAGTCCAGGCCTGATGTGCACAGCATGTAGGCATACCAGGTCAAGACAGTTCAAGCTGAGGGACCCATGACCTCAGGCTTACCCAGATCTTTCACCTTAGCTGAGGTATAAAATGCCCAACCCTGTGGCCACCAATGGCCTTGCTGGAAAAAGTACTAAACAGGTCAATTTATTTCTCTGTTAATGGAGGATAGTTCATGAGTCACCGTGGGACATGAACACCATCAGAAGCTGTCCCCGTTCTCCAGGTCCCATCTGGCTGCCAGCTTCTGTCCATTTACAATGCAAATCACACAGCATCTCACATGTCTGCTTCAAATCTTTCAATGGCTCCCTACTTTCCTCCCTGTTTACCCCTCTAGACACATCTCACCTCACTACTCCTTCACTTCCCAGGCCCCAGCCAGAATTACTTTATCTCGGCTTCTTTAACACAATCGTTCCCTCCAACCAGACTTTCACATTGTTCCCTCTGCCCTCAACTCTTCCCCTTCCCTACTCAGTTGTTCACTCACTCACTTACTCATTCTACATTTATTAAGCACCTGTGCAGGCACTGGATCCCTGAATCTACTGATCCAGACTCAGAAGCTCTATTCACAAGGTTCCACTTTGGCTTCTAGTCAGTATAAGCCAAAAGGATGCTTCCTCAAGGGAAGACTTTCCTGACCTCTGACCCTAAGTAGTAACCTCCAACACACACACACACACACACACACACACACACACACACACCCCATGCACCACAAACACACACACACACAGCACCTTACACTTCCATTGCAGATTATCTACTCAAAAATCCATCTTTCTCACCAGAATGCAAGTTCCATGAAGGCAGGGCCTGTGTCTGATTGGCCCCATACACACAGCATCCAACACAACAGCAGGCACAAAGGAGGGACTCAATAAACCTGAGATTAATTTAACTGGATTCCTGCTCCCCGCCTCTCTGGGGTAGTTCTTCCAGAAGCCTTGTGCCCTGCGGACTCAGGCTTGCCTATCCACCTCTGATCTACTCCCCAGCCATCTCTGAGACTACATTCAGTGTAGGGTCACAACTCTTCCCTTACAATGGGAGTTAAACATGCCCATTCCCACCGAGCTGCTTACAGCTCTGCAAATCTATGGCACTCTCCCTAAATCTGCCATGGAGAAAGATCTGAAAAATCAAGTTATTTGCAACCTTTCCAGATGCCTTCCACTTTTAACAGACTCATCCTACCAGGAAACTTGTTCTTTAACAAGCATAAACATGTTGCCCTTGCCCTGGCTTGAAGCAACTACCTTAAATCTGGATTCGCTTCTGTCACAGTGGACAGAAAAAGGGTGCCTGGGGTCATGAGGAAAGGGAAAGGTTGCTCCATGAGGGGGGTTCCCATTGCAACCAGTGTGAGGGGCATTCCTGGCTCTGCTCACTAGGGTAAAGGTGGATGCCAACCCGACCCGGCCTACTCGCCTGACCTCTCCTCCAGGCGGACCCACAGATCGCTGAACTGCCGGAGTCGCTGCCTCCGCCGTGGCCGCCTCCGCTTCTTCCGGAACTTCTGCTCGGCGTCACTGGGAGGGTGGGCACTTCCAGGCCGGGACACAAGGGGCGGCAGCGTTGAGTGCACCGAGGATATGGCTTCCGGTGTCGGTACTTCGGGGGTAGGCACTTTTGGAGCAAAGATGGTGGACGGGGTGGGCTGTGTGGAGGTCTTTTTACTCTTCCCTCTGTACACAAGTGGAAGGAGGAGGTCTTTGGAGGAGGCTCACACAGCACGGCACCCTCCCCAGCTCTCTTACACCTCAGGTTTCACGATGACGGCAGATAACCTGAAAGTTCAACCTGGCCAGGAAGGGCAGAAATTACCCAGTTCTTGAAATTACCTTGGGAATTGATCTCTTTGACGCCTTTTTTCTTTCCCCCTCAGATATCCTCACTCTACCTTCTCCAAATCCCCTAGTCCTGGGGAGAAAGATTCAAGATTTTTAAACTATTACATGTACAGTAATTACTGTACTTTTCCAACAATGAACAGGTCAGCACTGTCTAGAAAATCACTGACAATTATGGCTTTTTTTTTTTTCAGAGACCAGGTTTCTCTCAGTAGCTCAGGCTGAAGTGCAGT